GGCCATTTGCAACCAGAGATCTGACCCGAAATGGTCAGACATGACAGATCGATGACAAATCTAGCTGTAACCCCAACAATCTCACATAACCTCCAACCAAATACCCTATAGTCTCATTCATTTACAAAGACCATTTTAACCTGACTTTGTCTTATATAACTTTTAGAAAGTGACACTCGTAAACAAAACGAAAGTTTCATGCACGATCTTGAATGAAGGAATAAATGAAAAATGAAAATTTTAATCTTTTAAAATGACTCTTCCGTTCTAGTAATTACTTTATATAATCTCAGTTAAAAAAACCAATTTACCTTGTTTTGTCTTGTAACTTTGAATGAGATAAAGAAAGTGGAAAATCCTCTTTTGGTTGACTCTTCCATTCCAATAGTTTTGTTATTCTACTACTTTGAAAGTAACTAGTTTAATTTCAGTCACTCGAGCTTGTCGGTTTAAAGGGTAAAAGTGTAACTTCTTGAAGTCTATGGGTTTTAAGTGTATCAGTAAACGTAAGGGGTGCCAATGAGAAATATCCCCCAACACCAAACATACTCACAAATTCTCTCTCTTGAGTGATCACAAAGTTCGAAAGAATCCAAAGAATTCTCACCCAATCTTTGCATTGATATTTAAGTTTAGTACCTTTTGATCCTTCTTGTCTTTTATCACTTTCTCCTTACCTCTCCTTTTCACCATCTGAATTCCTCTGATCCTTCTCTCTTGTTGCATAATCACCAAACGATAAAACGAGATCGCTCGATCGATGTTATTGCCTTCCTACTTCACCTCTCAAACTTCAACCACGTAGAAAAAACAACATGGACGTTCGATCCAGAAGAACTAGACAAACCAGCCCGGACAGAGCCAAACTCTCCCTGCAACACCCCCGCCACCACCAGCCGCCGAAGCTTAAACCCATCAAAAAAGTTCAGGTCGTTTACTATGTCACCAGAAATGGCCTCCTCGAACACCCCCATTACATGGAAGTCTCCCACTTCGCGACTCAGCCCCTTCGCTTAAAAGGTAAATTAAACTATCCATTTTCTTCTTCAAAAGAAAGTGAAATTAATCTTCATTTCTTCATTGTTTTGTAGATGTAATGGAGAGGCTGATCGCTCTTAGAGGCAAAGGCATGCCCTCACTATATTCTTGGTCATGCAAAAGGTATAATATAAATTAAATTAATTATGTGATATGTGAAGTTTAATTTATTTATAAATCACGATATTTATCTTATTGTAAATGTTTTTTTTATTTCAGGAGCTACAAAAATGGCTATGTGTGGAATGATTTGTCAGAAAATGATATTATTTTTCCAGCTAATGGAGGTGAATATGTACTAAAAGGCTCTGAACTTCTTGAAGGTCGCTGTGGTAATTAATTTTTTTTTTTTTTTTTTTGTATTTATTCAAATCAATTAAAATTTATTATCATACTGAAATTTATTTTGTGATTTTCTAGACAATGTAGAGAAATTGCAGCAGTTGAATGTGAGTACCAGGCAGTTGATTCAAGAGCCAAAGGAACCATTCAGAACCCCAGCGTATGAATATCAAGATTACGAAGACGAGTTTGAGGAAGACGAAGAGAAGACAAGCTTTACAAGCTCCAGGACTTCTCATTCTCGCTGCTCGAGAGGCGTTTCAACGGACGAACTGGACGAACCAGAACCGCCAAAACCGCCGGTCACTGAGTCGACACCAACGTTAACTCGCTCACCCCCATCACTATCTTCCATCTTGTCTCAAGAAAAACCAACCAACAACAATAACAACAAAAACAACAACAACAACACGTCTAGAAGGTTTGAAGATGGTGACCCAGCGGTCACGGAGTCTGCACCGAGTCGTAACTCGGTTTTCCTCCAACTCTTTTCCTGCGGAAATCTAGCCGTCCCTAAAGCAAAGAGTAATAATAACAATGTCGTGAGAAGGAGCAGCAGCGATTTACACAGAGGGGTTCTTTGTAAGAGGGCGGTGAAGGTTGCTGAAGAAGAAGATAAAGATATGATAAGCTTCATGTCTGAGAATCCGAGGTTTGGCAATTTGCAGTCTGAAGAGAAAGAGTATTTCAGTGGGAGCATTGTTGAGTCAGTGAGTAAGGACCGAGTTCAGACTCAGCCTGTTCTCAAGAAATCAAATTCGTATAACGAAGAAAGGTCAGTAGTTTCTAACTCTTGTTATTTAACTGTTACTGATGAGCTGACTCGGTTTCGAGTCAATTGAAAAGTTTATAAAAATTCTTTCTAGGTTGACTTTTGCTATATTCTTTTACTAATCTTTATATTTGAAATATATAATGTTTTATTTTCATTAAAGACAAGATCTTGTAAGATTCTTGGTTTATATATCGTATACTCTGTTGAGATTTTTTGATTAATCATACGTAGGATGACCTAATTATGTGATTTTGCATGGACGATTCAGGAGCTCGAAGGCTGCAATAATGGAGGAAATCAAAGTGGAGGAAGATGAAGAAGAGAAAAGAACCAATAATGGGGTGAAAACCAAATGCATTCCTCGCAAGAAATCTTCATCATCATCTTCTTCAAAAAAAAATCATCAGAAAATGAGTTTATGATCTTTAATTTCATAATTTCCTTATAGTGGAGTTGTTGGAGCAGTCATAATTAGGGTTGAGTTACTAATTATAATTAATTAGAACTTGATTAGTGTTCTATAATCATGATTAAGAGAGAACTGTTTGTTCGGTGGAAAGTTGGAAAAAAAAAAAATTTGAAAGGATGTTTGGACCATTCTCCACCGTCTGATTTGGGTTCATACAGCACATCAGATGGCTCAGTACGATTGTCTTTTCAGTGATTTATTGAGAAAGATCTTTCGTAATATTTACTGTTATTCATTTATTTTCATAGTAAATTTTGATATTAAAGTAGTTATTGATGAATGATGATGGATGAATATTGAATAATAAAAAGAAGAGCAATTGACGTGTTCCCACCAAAGGTTAAGAGAAGTGTTCACCCTTGTTTTATAAATTTCAGATTCCCACATTTAAAGAAACATGTTATTCCGTTAATGATTGTTGAGTTTTGACATAGATGTAGATGACGCTATTACCAAAATGTCATTCCATCTTCTTCTCCTTCATCTCCCCATTCTCTTCTTCTCCTTCATCTCCCCATTCTCATCTCCAACCACCGCAGCCTAAAACCACCACCGCCCACCCTCATTGCGTTGTGCTTGCACGATTGCATTTTCCAACCGCATCGTGCAACTCATGATAGCAATGTGCCCACCTCACCGCCCCATCACACACCTGACCCTTACCATCTATCACCCTTCGCCTTTCTCGACCCCCACGATCGTCGACACCATTTGGTTAAAGAAGTTGGTTTGTTATTTGCACGGTATCCACCCCACTTGCAGGATAAGTAATCATGATCTTGGTTTATCCCAGTATAAATAGAAGATTTCTCTCTCATTTGCGGGATTAGCTAATCTCACTTTGGCATAACTCTCTCTCTCTCTCTCTCGTTATTTGCACGGTATCCACCCCACTTGCAGGATAAGTAATCATGATCTTGGTTTATCCCAGTATAAATAGAAGATTTCTCTCTCATTTGCGGGATTAGCTAATCTCACTTTGGCATAACTCTCTCTCTCTCTCTCTCTCTCTCTCTCTCTCTCTTTTGTATTCTCAAAACTATAACTCAGGTCGCTAAACATGACCTGACTTGATTTTCTTATTAATACAATATCAGTGGATGTAGGATTCGCTCTTGGGCATCCGAACCACTTTAAACATTACTCTTCATCATTTATTTAACCGAACATTTCCATATCACGTGTGACTTCTAAGTCCACTTAACATTTCTCATGTGCGATTAGTTGGTATCAAAATCAAGCATCAACACTATCTCTTTTCCACGGGCCCCACTCCCCATGCTCACTAGGTGTTCCACGAAACACCCCACCCACCAAGTCGCTCGCTTCCTCCTATGCACGCGATCCAACACGTGCAGGACTGATGGGTGATCTTGGGTGGGGATGATAGGTTTGGTGCGTGGAAGCCAGTGAAGTGAATGGTGGTGTCCAGGTTGATTTTCGGTGTTAGAATCAACCGAAAATGGGCTTGAAGTGCATGTACCCTGGATAAGTGGTAGTTGGTGATTGAAGGGTGTTCTTGGGTGGTAATGAAAGGGGTTTTGGTGTGTGGGTTAAGGGAAAGCGTTTGGTGGTGTCGGGGGTGTTTGACGACACTAGAATCAAGTCAGATTAGTGTGAGACGAAAGTCGCGAGGATGGGTTTGGGTTATGGGATAGGATTCCGGTCGAATGAGATTTGAGATTTGAAATGACCATTTTACCTTTTATCTGTAACATTAAATATTTTTCTATTAATTTAAAATTGGAAAATATGGAATTTATGAAACGAGGGTGGGAACTTGACACTTCACTTGACCTTAGGTGGGAACATGTCGTTTACTCCAAAAAGAAATTAATAATTATGCAAATGTGAATGCACATGATCTGCCTCCTTTTTAGCGTAATTTCTCTCCACAATATAAGCTAAAGTATTAAGCATCAATAGGTTCGAGGATTAGCATTAATTAAATTAAATTAAAATTAAACCATTGATCAAACTAGCTCTCTTGCTCTCTATGGATCTGTTTTGGGAAATTTAACGTAAGCTTTCTCCTCCACTAAGTTAGCTTCTACACATGCACACTTCACAAAATATATGATGTTTTTAATCATCCAATTAATCTTTTAATTATCTCTTAAATCCATGTTATTAATATTATTTTATGACCATAATTCTTGTATTAATTCGATGATCAAATTAACTTGTATTAATTCAAGCATCTTCTTGCTAATCCCAACATTTTAATGATCTAAGCATATAATTAAGCAAATCTATTGAAGATATTAATTACCAAGTAGATCTAGCCGACCATAATATTAATGATCTCATACAAATAGAGAAGAAAATGCCGCAAGAAGAGCTATCTTTTAATGCTATTCATGTGCAATCTACCAAGTTCACTAAACTCCCTTAATATATATCACTCTACGTTGCCTCTCAACTTTCAGTTTTCTCCTTCAGTAACCAAATCAGTTTCTTCACGGCAGCCATGGCTAGATTGTTGGTGCTTTTCGCGATGGTTCTGGTCCCGGTGCTCGTGAATGGACAGAAGACTCCGTTCACTGTCCGCGGTCGTGTCTACTGCGACACTTGCCGGTGTGGCTTTGAGACCTCTGCCTCCACTTACATTCATGGTAACACCTACCCGTTGCTTGTTTAATTTCAGCCTATGAAATAGATTCAGCATTATATTTAGCATAGGTAACATCCTTATTTTCAGTTGTTGAATTAAGTTCTACAATATTATGTTATATGCTTCGAAGACTCTGTCTCTTTCAGGTGCAAAAGTTAGAATTGAGTGCAAAGACAGGGATACTCTGCAGCTAAAATACAGCAAAGAAGGAGAGACAGACTCAACAGGAACATACAACATCCAGGTTGAAGACGATCACCTGGATCAAATTTGCTACGCCAAGCTCGTTAGCAGCCCGATGGCGAGCTGCAAAATACCAGGTCCAGGACGAGACCATTCCCAAGTCATTCTCACTCGTTCCAATGGAGCCGTTTCTAATCTCCATTATGCAAATGCTCTCGGATTCCTGAGGAATCAGGTACTCTCAGGATGCGCTCAATTTCTTAAGCAATACCAGCTCCAAGACGATGTTATTTAGAAGACGGGATCACGACCAGGATTCTCTCCTGACCTGAGTTTTACTTGAGCAGAAAACAAAACTGTTTTAAGCGATTCTATTCAGGATGATCCTAATTCTTAGAATACTATAGGAAGAGTGTTCTCTTTATTATGTTTCTTTTTACATGATATGTAGTTTGGTCACTTCTGGTGGCATTAAAATCTATGGATCCGTTTGTTTTATTATTTTGAATAGGATTTTGGGAATAATATTGGATAGATGAGTAGGGTTATTATTACGAGAATAAGATTTGAAGAATATGTGTTTGATAGAGTATTTTGACCTTATTATTTGTGTTGAATATTTGATTGATATATTTTTTTTATAAATGATTTATTAATGTAATATTTTGGTGCATTTTGTTAAAATATCAAATATATTTTTTTTATAAATGATTTATTAATGTAATATTTTGGTGCATTTTGTTAAAATAATGTATTATTATAACCTTAAAACTTATCAATTTATATTTTAATAATATTAAACATTTTATTGGTAATTTTGTAACCAGTAAATATTAAAAACAAAAATCCATATTAATTTCAAGTACTAATCCAACTGTTTAAAAACATCACATTAATACATATATGACAAAAGTACTAATTATCAACCCTTACAATCGTTCTCACGTATACTCCATTAACAACTACGACATGGTCCACTGTGCTGCCCACAGTGCATTCGTTATGTTATCCCGTACAATCATCATGTTGTCTATAATACCTGTAGATGCAAAAAATCTACCGTCATGAAAATAGGGTATGATCCCGTGAGGTTGAGATCACTGACAATCCATTAGACCTGCACACATGAAAGGGCAAGCGTGAAGCTTCTGGAAAACACCGAGGTGGTGTTTGCCGTAGGCACTCCGACGCTCAAGTCAGCAAGGCTGAAAGAGATGTAATAAGAATTAAGGAGAACAAGAATTACCAGGAGTCTTGTTAGAGGCTAGGACTACGGCGGAGGCGTTGGGTTCTTGGGAGCAGGAACTTAGGAGCAAATAGATGGTTTTGAGTAGTGTAGATTGACTGTGGGAGATCGCATGCTTAATGAGAGGGTAAGCCTCTATTTTTATAGTGAACCTAAGGGGTTGGAATCCTAGTAGGACATTGAGTCCTCTTTTGGGAGATAATCCCTATCATAAAAGAGATATGATTTCTTAACCTTATCAGATTAAGTTTAATAGTTTAAATAAGAATTGGAATCTTAGTAGGACACTAAGTCCTATTTTGGGAGATAATCCCTATCATGAAAGAGATATGATTTCTTGACCTTATCAGATCAAGTTTAATAGTTTGAGTGAGATTTGAAATCTTAGTAGAAGAGGAAATAGAATGAGATTCTGATTTCCTATTTATACTCTGTTGTAGGCTAATGGGCTGAAACCCAGTTTAGCTTAACTTATAGGATAGCCCAACTCATAGAGTGGGTAGGTCGCAAGGTGATTTTAAGCGTGGGCCCAATCGGGATTGGGTTGAGGCCCTGGGCCGTGACATGTTTATTTCGTTATTGGGCCCCGTCAAGCCCAAGACGATTTTTGGCCCTAACAATACCTTGCTGCGGTTGACTCGATCCTTCTCCATTTCGGCCATCTTCTACCCCATTTTGGCGATCACAATATACTTGTTTATTACCCGTATTTTTAGTATACTGCTCGAAGATAGGGTCCTCCATATTGTACATTTTGATAAAATTATGAAGTACACAACATGCCATAACAATCTTCCCTTGTTTGTCCAACGGGTAATTATTCATTTCATTCAGGATACGGAACCATCTTTTCAAAACACCAAATGTTCTCTCGACAACATTGCGGAGTAAAGCATGTCTGTAATTAAACAACTCTTGTGGCCCCTTCGGTTACGGCGGTGATCAGAAATATGGTAAGCCACTCACCTATGAGGGGCGAGGAACCCCTCTCTATTTGGATAACCCACATCAACCAAATAGTATTTCCCTGTAATAAAATCAGACATGTTATTTGAATTACAGGGTCTCAACAGTGGAGCAAATACACTATAATACGTCAAGAAAATACTTATACCTGGTGGAGGATGTGGGAATCCAGAATTTGGATCATCAAGAATTGAATTTAACACTCTTGAATCATGCGCAGATCCTTCCCATCCAGTAACGACATAAGTGAACATCATCCTAAAGCCGTATGCAGCCATTACATTCTGTCACAACGTTCCTTTACGATTCTGGTACCTATCGACAAAGTCATGTGGAACTGAAGCATATACCTGTGTGCCATCAATGACTCCAATACAGTCCTATCATCAAAATTGAATTTTACTCATATTAACCGACTATCAACATTAATAACAGAGTGAACTTAACTATCCACTAATAGAAAACATAATGAACCAGCACCTTAAAGAAAGGGTAATATTTTCTGTTGGTTGATATTTCCCATGGAACATCACTAAAGTCAAGTGGTCTGATAAACTCTGTCTTCAACTCACATATCGCCTAGCAAACTGCGCTAATTTATCTAGAGATCGTCTCACTTGAATGTTGAAAATTCCCCATCATCGTTCTGATTGTCTCGTTTTTCCAACGATTGTTAGAAATATCATAACTTGTTCTTCCAAACTCTTCTTTCTGGTTGATCGCAATTTGTCTTGTTCTGACAAAATGTCACATAAGTATGTAAAATAGTCTTTGTCCATGCGAGACTTGTCAAAGATCCTGTCAACATGACCATTTAGTACTTCCAACATGTACTCATGACCAGTTAATATGGATGTATGTCGTAGTTGACGCCCAGTTGTTTCTAACACGACAACACTGCAGAGTGCAATGGCTATATATGTCAGTATTTCTTCTTCATCATCTGTAGAACGTCGTCTTCTTCCTGTACGGCTAGACAACGCTATTTAAACTTGCACATTTGCAAAACATTGATCAACAATTAACAATTGTTGTACTACGTAGCAAAATATAACAGTCAATATTTAATTCTAATGACAATCCAAAACTCATATGAAACATGTAATCTCACATAAAACAGTAGCACAATTAATAAGTTCATACAGTAGCGTTATAAATTCTAATTCTAATTCTAATGACCAGTGCCCACTGACACATACAAAAGTGTTGGCAAACACTTAAGACATACAGTGTCATTTACAAATTGCGAAAGTCGTTATAAATCCAATTAGCCTTTTCCTCGAGCGGGAGTTTCACGAATATCTCCCATCACCCTGGATTTTGATATATGTACTTGACAACCAGCATGTAAAACTCTGTGGGTACTTGCATGGCCGTCATGATGTCAATACAATTGCTCATGAAAAACGAATCAGATGGACCACTGGTGTTCTCTTCATCCCTCTCATCTCCACTGCGATTGCTAGCCCTCAACCCCATAGTCCGCCTCTCTACAAGCTTGTCCGTCAATCTACCAATGACATCCGCAAGTGATTGTCCAGGGCCGCTTCTGTTCCTCATATTTCTCGCTCTTCTATGGCCAGATGTGTTTGGCTGTTTTTCCTCTTTCGTCCGATCTGGATTAGGTTCAAAGTCGCTATCATCCATGGGAACTACGCCCTGATTGGAATAAGTGGAGGTCTCCACTGGTTAAGATGTAGATTTGTACGCATATCTCCCAGTGGCAGTTTGCTTCTCAAATATGATTTCATAAAGCTCCTTGTGAGAAAGTCCATTGTGGTAGAATTGTTGCGCCAGTGGGTTTTGTTGGTAATGCAAAAGAATAATATATTAATATTTGGCAGTCCAAAAAAAAATGCATACAATTACGGTGTCGTTGATTAATATTAGTTAAAAAAGATGAAAATTTACCTTGACATATTCTTGTCAAACCTCTACGGGACACGTTGGACTTTGTGACTCATGATCCCACTCGAAACCTATGTGTTGCAGCAATTTCTGCCATGCTTGATATACTCTTCGCAGGAAAAAGTAGGTTAGTTGTGTGACGTTGTGTCTCCTCCCAGCCACTGATGATAAGTCGTCCAACATTTCCTGGTAATCTGCTGTTTTTATTGAAGTACCGTGCAAAGTTTTCGCCCACTCAGACAACAGGACCAGAAATTTGTGGGTCATCTCAGCGGACCAGTTCACAGTATCCCTCATCTAAGGACAGTACGGTGAGAATGACAACCAACATTGGGACACCATACGAATCACCAATCACATTACAAACAGACATACGCACATGTAAACGAAATCAAGTAAACATAGATAAACTTATACCTCGTTTGATTTGACACTGCTTGAAGATGTCAATACAGGGGAAGATACAGACAATGTCGACAACAGGGTGTATGACAAACTCAAAGTCTGGAAAAACGTTGAAACTTTTGCCTCTGCTGCAAGTAGTAATCAATCCTGCGACGTCGGGACAAATGATACTAACATCTGTGCATATGAGCGTGTAACGACTCGATTCTTATAAAAACATGCACAGTGAAAACACACGTAACCATAATATAAAAAGTTGGGCCCAAAATTTTTCTTTCATTAAACATATGCATTCTTTATACAAATTTATACAAGGTTTGTGACATATGCAAAACTATCAAAAAGGGTGGACAGTGTAGCCATTTCTCTTCGTGTGCCGATGTCCATCTGACTGTGTCCTCATCTAGGACCTGCAAAAACATAGGGAACAATTGGGTGAGCACAAACAAGGCTCAGTAAGTAAACCCCTGAACTCAAATATCACCGTAACTCTTTCTTTAATATAACTATATGAATTCTCTTTCTCATAATTCCTCTATGCTAACTTTCTTTCTAGTAAGTCACGGCCCCATCTGACCGGAGGCACGGCTGGGACTCGCTCCCACTCCCGGTGACTTCTACTCATTCTAGCCGATCGGACTTGGTTATGCATGGATTCGGAACCTTTGGCCATGTGAGTGCATAGAATCTCTCGGGTAAACTCGGGTATAGCCCTCATCCGCATGTACACTACGGGCTACACCACTTCTCTTTCTGATACTCTGGCCGCTTTATTGATGCGGCGTACATGCGGGAATACTCTACCCGTACTCACAGGTTCCCCATCGCACAACCTACTCTATTCTCTTATTAAGCACTACTCTAGCTTTACTCTATAGTGCTCATTCTCTCTTTCTTTCTACTCTTAGAGTAGTCTAAACTCAAAAGTCTCTACTCTTTCTCTACTCTCTTTTCTAATGCATAAGTAAAGCATAATTAATGCACATCAATGACTCATACTCATTAATGCATTTATGAAAAGTAACTATGACATGTAGCAACAATTAAGGCTTTCTACCCTTACTTATGATTCTCTTGAGCATTTCATCATACAACTCATGTGCATAAATAACTCTACTCTAACTCTAACTTTTCTGTTTTCTTTAATCAACCAAATGGGAGAAAACTCCCTCATAACACCTAAATTCCCTGTCAAAAGAGAAACACTTCCATAAACTTGCTCAAAACTTCCTCCAACTTCCATCAAACTCAACCCAACATCAAGCAATTTAAAGCACTTCTCATAACTCAATCATAACTACTAATCTCAACAATTAAAAGAATACACATATGTATATCAATCTACTCAAAAGAGTTCTTAAATCTCAACTTGGGTTGAGTTTACTTACCTTATGAGAAATTAGCTTCTTTAACACTTCTCCTTTCCTTTGGAAGCTTGCTTTTCCTCTACAACTTAACCAACAATCACAACATGAGACTCTAATCAAAACATAATAAAACTCTCATCTAAAGCACAAATCCTTACCTTAGGAAGCTTTAGGTTAAAACCCTACTAAAAGTTTCTCAAAAAGGCTCTTGGAAATCCTTGAAAGATTGAAGGAAATTTGAGAGAGTTTAGAAGAATGAAGGAGGCGGTGGAAATGGGAAATGAAGAACTTTCAAAGGCTAAACCCTTTTTAATATCTCTTAATACTCATTCTTCCCATTTTGCCCTTGCTCTTTTATGGAAATTCCATCCATATCCTTTGATTCCTTACTAACACACCCCCATACTAACATATTCTCCTTGAAATTTCCTTACAATTTACTCCCCACTTTTCCTGCTAATTAGGGGTAGAATGGTCAAATTGCCCTTAGTGAAGAGAATATCTAAAACTTAGTAAACATTTTGGTCGGACCGTCGCCGCGGCGAGGAAACTTCTGTCGCCGCGGCGAAACTGTCCAGAAAGTTTCCCGTGGTTTCAACATCTCTTCGCCGCGGCGAAGATTCTTCTTCGCCCCGGCGAAGCTTGGCACACTACACTTCTTCTATTTTTAACCAATTTCAGGGCAATTATTCGACACAACACTCGTACTAATGTCAATCAAACAATATTAACAAGATACCCACTCAAAAAAGAGCAAACGAAAGAACAATAACTACGTACCTCAAGTGGGGTGTTACAGAGCGTAATTTGCTCTTACAATTAAAGAACGATGTCAAATCTACATAAGAAATATATCAGTTAGTGAAATCCCAAAAAAATATTTCCAATAATCCAATAATTTTTTACTCCCAAAATTTATCCATTACATACAACATGTTACATACAGAACATATTAAGCTGCACAATATTTTGACACATGTGCTAAACACTGTAAGCAACATGGCACATGCTCTAATCGTTAAACCCCACAAACAAATCCACCAGATCCAAGTTTCTCATGTGCAAAAATCACTTTGAGCTCACCAATTATAAAACGCATTATTAAAGTCCAAATTAAAAGGAATAATAAAAGGAAAAAAGAGTACTAACACAAAGCCAAAATAAAAATAAAAATCAGGACAATTGCATTGGGTGTCTTGAAAACAAACATGTCACGAAAGCTGACAAACTCGATTCGCAAACTTCGCGGGTCTTTTTCCCTTCCCTAAATATTTTGGCATGATAAACATCAAACAATAGAAAACAAATTCATGCACACATCTTTTGTACAACAGATTTACAAACCTGCAAAAAAAAAAAAAAAATCAAAAACACCTTTCCCGTTCATGGTGTTCCCTTCACGGAAGTCAGATCTTTCCCTTCACGATGTTCATGGGTTTGTGGCGATCGACGACGTCAGGGCTTCACAGTGACAGATCTGCGACGTCAGTGGGTATTCGTGGTGGGTTTGTGATGATCGACGATGTCAGGACTTCACAGTAACAAATTTGCGATGTCGGTGCGTATTCGTGATGGGTTTGTGACAATCGACGACGTCGGGGCTTCACAGTGACAAATGCGATGTCGGTGGGTATTCGTGATGGGTTTGTGACGATCGGCGAAGAAGAGGCTTCACAGTGATAGATCTGCGACGTCGGTGGGTATTCGTGGTGGGTTTGTCATGATCGGCTTCCGATCATGGCAGATCAACGATGGTGGGTCACCGTGAATGGTTTGTGATGATGGTGTTGTTTTGTGATTATGGTGGCAGTGGATGATGGTTTGATTCCGGTCGGTTTGTGTTGTGATGATGGCGGCAGATGGTGATGTGTGGTTGCGGTGGGGTGGTAATGCGATGATGGTGGAAGAGGGTGATGGGTAGTGGCCGTGCGATTCTATTGTGATGATGTTGGCAGATTGATTGGGTGGTGTTGTGGGGTGGTTTTATGATTCAGGTGGCTGGTCGTTTGGCCAATGTGCTTTGTTTTGTATTTGCAGGTGGAAGATTGTGTTGGAGAAGAATTTGTTGGAAGGGTAGCAAGATGGTTTGTGACGGTGGTGAAGCACTAAAGCAGTGAACCAAATTGAGAAAGTGAAATAAAAGCATATAGGATTGCAAATTGTCTTCAACGGTCAAAAAACTGTGAGGATACCTGTCGAGATTCTATTTTCAGGATTGCATTGTCTGAATAATAAGCCAAACATTATTCGTAAAATCGAGTTGAGAATATAGGTAAAAATATTGAACCAAACCCATCTTTTAATATTTTGCATTTGAATTCACATTTGAATTTTCCTCCAAGACAGTTTATTATATGATCTCTAAGTTCGAATTTTCCTGACTCCTGAGATTTAAGTGGAGAATTGTAATGGTGGATTAATTGAATTAATAGAGATATGCATAAAACGTAAGCTATGTGTAGCTTGGTACATATGTTCTAATATTTTTTTTCGAAAAAAGGTTCAAAACTCAAAATTTTATATCAAAAGATCAGTTAATGGGATATCTCATTGAACCAATCGGTAAATTTCCGGAGAAACAGTATAGTATTATCTGCACTATGTGACAAATAATTACGATATTATGTGCTGTAAAGCAGTTAAATTTGTCCTCACTTAACGGTTTTTTAACCTACCCAGCTTAATTTCTCCGAAAGACTTGGCGCCAAACTCTGACTCATGGAAACAAATCACAAGAACTCTCTCGCATTATTAAAAATAAAATAAAATTTATTTTTAAAAAAATAAAAATAAAACATAAGACCAATCCAAGAAAATCAATTTTAAAAAAAATCTCTACAAATCCATGCACACAAGAAACCTAGATTTTTTTTCTTTTTAAATATTTTTTTTCAAGCTCTAGATGGTGTCATTTCAGCCCTGGAAATTGGATTTTTCAATCAAATTTGCGTAATTGGATGAACGAATTATTCCAATATTTGATGCCAACTTGGAAATGACCAAGGCCACCGGTTCCACCATGAGCGGTCTTGGTATACCTGAAAACAATTCTTTCAGGAACGATAAGAAGAAGAAGGTATTATATTCATATTTTTGTTATTCTTTGGATATATTTATATTTTAATAATTAAGAAATTACCAATGAAATTGAATTAATAATTATTTGTTTCTTTTTTAATCAAAATTTTGGGAAAAAGTCGATTCTTCCAAAGATTTTTGGTTCAAAGAAAAATGGAAGAGGTTCATCAGAAGAGGATATAAGTAAATTATCAGATGACGAAGGAGGTCCTGGTATTCATCTTCTTCTTTTTTTTTTTTTTTTTTAATCTTTAATTTCAATCTATTGTTTTTCTTCTTTGTTGGTGTATAATTATTCAATTTGGATTTGGTTCGGTAGATATTGAGAAAAAAGTGGCATCAACAAGAAAAGCTTTCATTGAGGCGGCTCCTGTAACGAGAAAAAGTTTCCTAGGTAAATAAAAAAAAAATCCATACTGTTCATGAGGGTTATGGGACAAGTTATATACATGTATAATAATTTTATATAATATAAAATTTCATGAATTATTGAAGAATTTGGTGGGTCAGCATTGATTGAACCTCTTGGCAATGGGTACAAGCCACGTAATTGATGAACAGAAGACTAATTTCCCCTTACCTCTTGCAAATAATTTTGGTAGCTTACCTAACAAGAATGAGTTTTGATTTGGCAGCCAGATATCTATAATTAAATGGAAGAAAAATACAATGGAGTAGATGTAGATCAGTGAAGATTTCATATTGATTTTGACCCTTTTAGGCATACAATTTGAGAATTTATTGTAAAATTATGGTGTTAATTTATTATCTAATCCCAGAAAGGCAGACCAGTGTATCAATTGAAGGCTTAAACTTGTCAACGTTTGAGCCACCTATGGCACCAGCAATTGAAATTCAGAAACTCAGGTATGATTATTTTCTTTGTTAATGGTGATTTCTTTGCTTAATTAATCAATTAGATTGTTGCTTTTGATCAGGCTTGATGTTGGGCTTGTAGGATTTTTGTTGCAACTTGGAATGTTGGAGGAACGACTCCCACCCAGGGCCTGAATCTTGAAGATTTCCTTCAGGTTGAAGGGTGCTCTGATATATATGTTTGTGGGTAAGACTCACTCTGAAAATTTCCAGAAACTTGCACTTGCAGAAGTGCTTTTGATTAAAGCACTTTTCCCGTGATGTTTCCTTGTCAGGTTTCAGGAAATTGTTCCACTGAGTGCTGGAAATGTTCTTGTAGTTGAGGACAATGAGCCGGCGGCAAAATGGCTAGCCCTCATATATCATGCACTAAACAAACCATGTAATGATTCAATCTATTCATCTTCAGATACATCTCCAGGTTCCAGGCTCCAAAAAAGTAACAACAATAACAACTCAAAGGAGGTAAAATCACCAAGCAGCTTGAACTTCTTCCAGAAGCCGAATCTGAAACTCCTGAGCAGAAATTTAAGGGCTGACAGTGCCCTTTTGAAGGCCTGTAATTGCCCTCTGGAGTCACGGGCAAGGGAGTGGAGAAGAATAAGAAAGATCAGTGATCGGACAATGTGTAAACTTGACACTGATTGTCTGAAACCTCACAGCCATGGAAGTATTGAAGAGTTATTATCAGTGGTTGAGCTTCCTGATGACTCATCACATTGTTCATCACCAAGCGAGATGAGTTATTGCCTTGTAGCAAGCAAGCAAATGGTTGGAATTTTCCTCTCAATATGGGTTAGAAAAGACTTGGTGCCTCACATTGGTCATCTCAGATTTTCTTCAGTGGGAAGAGGCATCATGGGATGTTTTGGCAACAAGGCAAGTTGAATCATCGTTTATTTAAGGAATTACAGATAATGTAACATCTCTGTCGATAAAATGAGTATATAGATAATTTGACATGTCTATAGACTAAATAATTATATAAATAACGTGATATGTCTATTTGTCGAAAAGTATTCCTAATTTTGATTTAAATGTGGCAATGTCACAGGGATGCACATCAATAAGCATGACAGTGCACAACACAAGTTTTTGCTTCGTGTGTAGTCACTTAGCTTCAGGGGAGAAGGAGGGAGATGAACTCAAAAGAAATGCCGATGTCGCCGAGATCCTTAAGAGCACTCAGTTTCACAAAATTTGCAAGAGTCCAAATCCTATAGCCCCAGAAAGAATAATTGATCACGAGTACGTAAATTTGTATTAAAACACTAATTGATCACGAGTACGTTAATTTGTATTAAAACACTCATTATTGTCTCAGGAATTGTCTCAAGTTATGTTTGTATGTGCAGCCGAGTGATTTGGCTTGGAGATTTAAACTATAGAGTGTCACTGAGCTATGAAGAAACAAGGGTCCTATTGGAAGATAATGACTGGGACTCCCTGCTTGAGAAAGATCAGGTTTGTTTTTTGAGTAAACTACTTTTTCTCACCCAAATAATGACTTAACGATACTTTTCCATCGATAGACTTTTAAAATATCACTTTATTATATAAATTTATATTTCGTTTTTTATTCTGGCATCGTTGTGACTTCATACCATTACAATTCTCTTCTCTGATCATCACTCATTAAAACCCCTCAAACCCTACTCTAACTGACCTTACTAATCACTAACAATCGAGAGATTAGGGTTTGCACAGCTACTTTTCTCAAATTAAATTTTGATCAATCTCAACTATCTAAATCCAATATTCTACTACTAAAAAACTCAATGTCATTCCATTTTTAAAAGCCCTAATAATCTATACCAAGTTTATTTTTTGTTTATCACTAAAGTATAAATTTAGGTAATACATTTTAAAACTTCTAAAAACATTATCTGGTGAGGAAAAGTCGTTAACTCTTGTTTTTTCTGTAAATTTGGCCCACAAATTTATTAAAATAAAGTACCACGTCCCACCAGTTGATTCAAGCCTCTGTCAATATAATAATCTTGTCCTGACTACATAACAAACATCATATCTTTCTGGAGTCAGTCACCAGGGTCAATAAAGAACCTTTCAAGATCTGAACTGTAAATTCGACATAATTCAATACTAAATTTGTTTAGATAGTTGATTCTGAAGTCATGGAAGACTTCGTTACCGATTATAATTCACTGGGTTGACTAGCATTAATTTGTTTATACAGTTGAATAAAGAGAGGGAAGCAGGGAGGACCTTCAGTGGATTTAGTGAGGGAAGGATTTTCTTTGCTCCGACCTACAAGTACTCACATAATTCAGATAATTATGCCGGCGAAACTGTTAAATCCAAGAAGAAACGGCGAACCCCAGCTTGGTATTTTCATTTCCTTTGAATTAATGAATCATCATAAGTGATTTAACACATTATTTAGTATAAAAAATTTGGAATACTACTTGAGATGTGTAGCATCTCTCCTATCATATCCACAATTTTGAATCCGATTTGCAGGTGCGACAGGATATTGTGGCGTGGCAATGGCATCGAACAGTTATCATATATTCGCGGCGAATCAAGATTTTCGGATCATAGACCTGTTTGTGCTGTGTTTTCAGTGGAGGTGGAGAAGGATGTAGTGAATAAAATCAGCATTAACAGGTTGAGGAAGGGATTTTCTTGTGCGAATCAAAAATTCGAATATGAAGATTGCATACCTCAAAGGCATAGCTTTTATGATTACTGACTAAAAAGCTTAGAAGTTGTACATTTTATTAAGATCACAAAAAAAGTTTTCACTTAACCCTGTGTATTATTTTTCAATTATTGTAGCAAGTGGCCTCTGGAATATATAAGTAGGAAATTGATTCAATTAATTTCACTATGTCTTTCAATGACATCATAAAACTTTTGCTACATGATATAGAGACTCTAATGTGTTCAATTTTTTAGTAATTAACCTTTATTTTATCAAAGAAATAACGAAAATTATTATTACATTATAAGTTTATGATCCAATAATCTATACAAACAGAATAACAGTTTTAAATATGACACAAATACAGATGACGTGATACATCCGTCTTATCTAAATATATTTTACGATCATTTTGTTTACAGAAAGCAAGCTGTAAATCAACTTGCTTTTTACTTAAAACACACAACTTGGTAGTGATCTCCAACAATAACCAATCCACACTTGATCCCCGAAGACACTAAAACTTGAGAAAAAAGCAACTCAAGAAGCTTAATAAGGTGAAGAAAGGAATGACATGAATGAAAGTAAAATCATAGCTAAATGTAAAGAAGCTTAATAAGGTGAAGAAAGGAGTGACATATATGAAAGTAAAATCATAGCTAAATATAAAGATCATCAGTCAATTAACTTCTCTTCTTCAAGCTTTTGCTTTCATCCTTCATATCCCAAATCGCAAATTGAAGTAACTCCTTGATCAATTGTCTCCGCTTCTAAAGAATTCACACCACTTGTTTCCGTGTTCCTCTGGATGTCAAATGCACCATCAATGGCTAGATCTTCAATTCCACCATCCCAAAATCCTCCATAATCTTCCACTCCTGCAGCATTAATGCCTCCAGCTGCTACCTCTCCAACTTCTTTCACACTTTCATTTGCACTACTATTGTTCCCATATTCAACCTTCTCTAGCTCCGAATTCAGCCATTCCTGAAGACTCAACCCTCCTTTGTTGCTCTCATCTACAGAACTGGGAAGACTCATCATTGGTGGACTGAGAGAGCTCAGAGTGCTATTTGTGGTGGGGAAGCTTCTCCAGGCTGATGAATCGGAGACCCGATCAATATTTTCTCCAGCACTATGCTCACTCTCCTGATCCGTCCTATATGAACACAGAGACTCATGGTCGCTTCTTGAGTTCTTGTCCACGAATCCTACCCCAATTTCACTTTGCGGGCATTTCAAGTTCTGGCAAGCATAGAGAGTGTTCTCTTGAACCTCTCTCTCAAACACACACTTCCTTTTCTCACTTCCATGCTTATCTTTCTTGCTTCCTTCAGCTTCTCCTTCTGCTTCTTCTGGTGATATTTTGAGACACCTCTCAGTTAGCTCCAAAAGCACTTCTTCCTGGTTAATCACTTTCGACCAAGTGGCCGACTGTCTCGCGGTCATTTTATGCTGCAAACACTTCGATTGTCTCACCAATCTCCTCACTTTATTCAAATCCAAGGACGTGTTTGATCTCGACGCCAAAACACTAACCTTCCAGGCCTTCTTCAAATCATGAGGCTTCCTATAAGGCGGAGGGCCATGTTCCTGAGATATCCCTTGCTCGCCCCACCAATTTTCGTTCCCCGTCGGCCACCACGGTGGAGCCAAACCCTTGGCGAGCGGAAACCGCCTCTGCGATGGAGCACAATGTTGCATCAGAGCCTATAAAAGAGACCCCAGAGTCGTATCCTGCAAATCATAAAGAAGATGCATATTCGAAATCAAGTCCACCTCTCCATCTTCGTTCTCCAAAAGTGGTGCCATGAACTCAGCAACGGCGAGAGGAGCTTGTTTGTCAAAACAAACTTTTTCTTTCCACCATTCTTGCAAGCTATCACATGAACCAGTTACAGGTTTTCCCTTTTCAGGAACAATCCCATAGACGAATCCTTGGCCTTTGCAGACCTCCATGATTTTCACCATGTATTTGAGGATCGAATCTTGAGCTCTTGACATCTTCTTCTGCCGGGACGCTTGTTGTCTTGAAGAGGATTCAGCTTCTTCGACTTTGTGCTTCTCCTTAAGCTTTTGCATCCGCGCACGATCCTTCCACATCCGCTTCTTGAGCTCATCACAGTCGATCTCTTCCGACTCATAATCCGGTTCTTCTCCTTTTTCTTCATGCTCATCCAAACCAGGACTCAAAGGATATTCATAAATTTCAACCATGTTTGCCTCGCTACTTTTAGTTATCTATACACACCTCCTTTCTTCTTCGCATAAGGGAACTATCATCGCTTTCGTCTGTACGAGTAGGTGGTATGAGACCAAATTCAAAGTCACAAACATATAAATATCAACCACAACGGCGTGTAGTACACGTACGAGAAATAATTACGGACGTACCACGTTATCCAATACTACACTATTTCGCGTATTAATCACTATTACGATGGATGATTTTGAAACTTTATTGATCCACCGCAAGATTAACTCTTGTGGCGTAATTAAGCTTGAAGACAAATAACCATTAACGATGTGAAGAGCCGAGGGGATGAGTTTGGGAAGGGTGAGTGGGATTTGATGAGGTAATTGGGGGCTAAAATTGCGGCACCTGTAATGAAGTTCAGAGGAATTTGAGGCGTTACAGCGAGCGTGGGAGTTTGACATTGAAGGCAAAGCCACGAGGAGCTTACATAATTTCATGCGGGAGACTGACACAGATGAGTTTTGTGTGCTTGTTTGTAAATGCATGGAAAGCTATTTAATAATGCAGCTAGAGCCTAGAGGCTCTTTTATCACAAAAAAAAGTTTTAGGATTGCGAGGACGGATACATCACATCATTCTATCTATATGTATTTCATATTTCTTAAAAATTAGTTATTCTATTCATATATGTATTTCATATTTCTTAAAAATTAGTATATGTATGATTTTGGGGAACACGTTTGTTATGCCTGGGAAAATAAGGGCTGACGTGGAAAAGTCACATGAGGAGTGACCTCTCCCGTCAGCAACAAGCACCGTCAGACCTGTCAAATGATATGGAGCTCACACGTGCCCTTTGCCCTACAATAATCATGCGAAATCAGCTTGGGAAGAGAGCAATGGCATAAAGCCGGATTATCCTGACAATCACACCAACCCACAGATTTAATGATGATTACATGCTTCAGTTTGATTAAAATGAAGAAGACCCCTTCATTAAGGGGATCGCCATTTTTACACGGAGAAACTCTCTCTCTCCAGTACAACACATTTACTTTTTCAAGCCTTTTGTAAGTCAGTCCACTGTTGCGACCTGACCCACACTATCAATTCAATACAATCAGTGGACTAGGACTTACACCTTAGCATCCCCCACTTTAAAAACTCTCTTTGCATTTATTCTACTTTCTATATTCATTATCACGTGTGTTTATTGGCCAATCAGCATTACCACGTGACAATTAGTTGGTGCCAAAAACGAGCATCAACAGTTTGGCGCTAGAAGGAGGGGCCTGATTTAGTGTCTACCTTCATCAGAGAATCTTGGACCCATTGGTCCTACAGCTACAAATGGCCCGTCAATCTGAACCTGAGCGTCACCAGTGTGCTGAAGGAGTCCCCCTAGCCCAGAGGGATACCCCTTCAACATACCTCCAGTTTCGCAAAATGCTGCTGGGGATATCCCGCCAGCTCTGCAACTTGACCCTCCATCAGAAGCTACCTGGAGAGGTTCACAATACTCTCCAATGTCAACCAGAGGCTAGACCGTTTGGACCAGGCATGTCATCTACGACAGCCGGGTGGTACAACCGCCAAAGACGCCTGCAGGTCGCGCAAAAGCGCGGCAAAGGGCGATAGCCTGTGCTGCGACACGCAGCGCGTAGCGCCAGGGTAAGCAGTGGCAAAAAGTAAGCCTACGGCTCCAAGGGACCAGCGAATACAAAACGCCCCGAGCAGGGTCGGCAAAGCTGAGCTCGGTGAAAAAGTGAATCCCGAGCTGTCCCATCCACATCGCAGGCAACCCCAGCGAAGATCCTGGGCGCGATGATTCCTATCACCACCAGCAGAACGATCTCGATCGTTATCATGCGGGTGGCCCTCACACCTCGCGGGGTGGTTCGTACAACCGCGAGGGTCATGAAATGCCCCGCACATCCATCGCCTTCAACACGCGTCTATCCGCGTGTGTCAAGTGCGGCCGGAAATGCCGGCCGAGGCGAGGAGGAATCCGACCTCCGACTTTCCTGAACGCCAACCGAGAAGCCGGCTCGCACGAGTGAAAGCAATCCCCAATTGGCTCCGTTACCGCAAATTGAGAGCTACAATGAGCTTTGGACAGTTAAGGAGCAGCAAAACGAACAGGCACAGGTCGCCCTCTGCATCCCCTTTTTCTCCCGAGTGCTACTGCCCCACTTCCACCAGTTTCAGGATGCCAGATATGCGGCCGTTTGATGGAAACTATGATCCGCAGGATCATTTATATAGTTCAACGACCTGATGGAGCTCCACTAGGTTTCGAACCTTGCAAAATGCCGTGTGTAAGGTCTCCAGTCGCCGACGGGTCGATCAGTTTCGTGCCCTTAGATGAGCACGACGTTCCTGCGGCATTTCCAAGCCAATCAGAAGTTCTCAATGCCTTTGACTACCTCAGCAACATAAGGCAGAGGACAAATCCCTGCAGTCTTACATTGATCGCTTCCACAGGGAACTCAACAAGTGGGCTCATGCTCCGAAGAGTCCACCCGAACCTTATAGCTGGAGTTCGCCCGCAAACCGACCTGTGGAAAGAACTGTAGCTGAGGACGATATTCCCTCACCGATTCTATAACCTCAGAAAGTATCTCCGAATGAGAATTCATTGGCGGCGCTCCGCCGTCGTGATCACAGCACTTCCAGCAGTATGCCTGGTCGGGGAGATAATAGGCGAGCTGATCGCAAAGGAGACATTGACGATCAGCAAAAAGGGAAGAAACCCCGCTACGAGCAGAAAAAGTCCTAGCTCCTGTTCCTCGTTGCGACCGCGACAGGACTCAATACACTCCACTGAACGTGTCCGTACTGCAATCCTCGACAATCCAGGAGGCCAGCCTCTCGGTGAGCCCGAACCCGAAAACCCCTGCTACAGCCAGAAACAGCAAAAATACTATGCCGTTACCATCGGGATAATGGGCACCCACTGATGAATGCCAGCTCTAAAGCAGCTATCGAAGAGCTCATCAAGGGGGCACTTC